AGGAGGTAGGCTAGAAGCCAGCAAACGCACATCTTGGAATTGCCACTGAAACATAGCCTATGGAGTCTGCAAGACATATTTGTTTTGCAAATACAATTATGCTTATAACTTGCAAACACAATGCACCAAAAGAAATGGACCCTAAAACTTCAATTTTTATTTGTAAGTAAAACAAATCTCACGATGATTAAAAAATAAAAATGTTTGATAAATAATTACTTTAAGAAATTGAGCAAAATTATTATTTGTCCAGACTGTTAAACCATTAACATTTTCACACAGGCTCAACTAAAAATACAGTTTTATCCTTGCGTGAATAAAACTAACTACAAAAATTAAGAATATTTCTAATTTCAGTACGTTATATCCTACTTCTTTCTGCAGACATATGAAAATATCTCTATGGGTTAAAAAAAAGATGCCACATACACCCCACCCCCCTTCCCCCAAGAGCTGAGGTTGAAGGAAACAAATCCAAAGAGCTAGGCACGTCTGATTTTATTTCACTTTTCAACAAAAACATTCTCATGGACCCAGGTATGTACTACTACGATTTTCTGTGGCACATAAAATAATATGCTCAATAAAAAACAAGTAAGATCTAGAATGTAAAGCATGGGAAGGAGACTACTGGAAATGCAGCATATGTGTCTAGAGTAATGGGAAACTGAGGGATGAAGGGGAACTGCACGAAGACGGCAAGGTGCAGGAACTCCTGAACAGGCCTTGACAGGCTAACGCACGTGCTCGACTTTACACTCTCTAGTGGTCCCACTGATTTCAATGGGATGGACGACTTAGTATAAAGAGTTAAGTGTCTGCACATACCCCTGCAGAACTGAGATCTAGGACAGAAAACAATTCTTATAAATTAATTATTTTTGCATATTAAAAAAATATCATCAGTACAGAAATAGTAAATGACAAAACAGAAGAGTTTATGATGTAACTGTGAAAAGAAAGGAATCACATCTGGGTTGGTTTTGAGTATGATGTTATCAGTTGCAGTAATCAATAATTAAATAATTAGTCTACATCTATTTATACTTGAAATCCCCAAATGTCTTATTCCATGGAAGCCATTCTCTGCAAATTAAGACCTGCTTTACTACTAAGGTTTTCTGTCCAGCAGTTCCAAGCCAAAGGCAAGATCCAAAAAAATGTTTCCTGGCAATATTTGGCATAGATCATAAAAGGGAAACAAAAATAAAACTCTCCTACACTAATAACACCAGCTGGGTAAACATGCAAAGGCTCTCAGCAACTACATTTCAGCTAGTTTCCTAGCAGCAAAATAAAAAATCCTGTTTTAGTTGAATACAAAAATGGGTAAAAATTATTAATTTATGTAACACTGGAAATTCCTGAGCCAAAATGTGGCTTCTCCCTTGACTGATTTCCACACTCACACAAAAAAATCACCACACCAAAACCTGGAAGATTTATATACTTCTGGCCCAAAACCTGCAACAAAGCCCAGTGAAGGGTAGTGTCGCTAATCACTAATCCTCAAGCCGCCAGCTACCAGTGCGTCCCCCAAACCATACCTTACCCTCTACTCTCTTGGCAGGAGGGGATGCTCAGAGAGCAGGCAGTGCCGCAGTGTTACTACGGCAGGCAGCCGGGCGCTGGCTTCAGCGCACCGCTCGGGACAGGCTGGCCACAACTCCTGCACTACCTGGACTTCTGGTCTGCAAAGCCAACAACCGGTAATTACAGGAAGTAGAGCGGGTAGAGTGAAAAGAGCGGGGAATGCCGCGGTGATCTTGTGAAATTGGTAATTTCACCGCAAATCAGCAGGAGACTCCACCGCAAATTACCGCTTTCCTTCACGCGGGCAAGTTGGAAACTAACCCCGCGCGGGCTTCAGCGTTCGGGACTCCCAGCGAAATTAAGGACGGGCACGGGCAAGCCTCGGGCATTCATTAACCGCCCGCGCCCGGAACATCTGCCGCGCCGAACAGGACGAC